AATATATATATATATATATATATATATATATATATAGTGCAGTGGTTCCCAAACTTGTTCCGCCGCTTGTGCAGAGAAAGCCCCTGGCAGGCCAGGCCGGTTTGTGTACCTGCCGCATCCGCAGGTTTGGCCGGTTGCGGCTCCCAGTGGCCATGGTTCACTGCTCTAAACCAATGGGAGCTGCTGGAAGCGGCACGGGCCGAGGGACGTACCGGCCACCACTTCCAGCAGCTCCCATTGGCCTGCAGCAGCAAACCGCGGCCACTGGGAGCCATGGTCGGCCGAACCTGCGGACGCGGCAGGTTCACAAACCGGCCCAGCCTGCCAGGGGCTTTCCCTGCACAAGCGGGGGAACAAGTTTGGGAACTACAGATATAGTGCATAATGAAAAAAATTACTGCACTGGTCCAGTATTGAATTTTAAAATGTTAGTGAATTGGCTATTAAAACACACAAAAACTGAACCACCATCTAAAATGCAGCACTAAAAGAAGCAATTCACAGTAGGGATTATGTACTGGCTAAACTGGATTAGAGAAAAATTTACAGGTTTTTCTCCTTAAAGCAGCAGAGGGACAAGGAGGAAACAAACTGTTTTTTCGTCCAACTTGAAACAAAAACAAAAGCAAAATCGATCTTAGTGAAACAGAGTTAGTAATGGAGATGTTGACAGAGCATTTACTGTATCAGTGCTAACCAGCACTACACTAGTCATATAGGTCAATGCAAGGGGTCAGACAATGCCAATTATGCTCCTAGCATGCATGGCCTGGTTCACAATTATTTAATTATCCATGAGTATTTATATGAGTTAAACAAGAATTCTTTTCTGTATGGACTGCACAATGGTCTGTTTCATCCATTCACATATCCATATACATCTGACAAATGGATGCCTACAATTCCATTTTCCTCTGATTTATATTCACCAGTGCTGATTTTTTAAAATAGTTACATTTTATATCAACAGTATCGGAAGATGATGTGTGGATCTTCCCTTTCTAGCAGTCTACAACCTGATTTTGTGGAGAGTGAACCCAATGTAATAGGTCCTTTCCATCTCTAAGGGCATGTCTACACTTACCATGGATCGACATTGCAATGATCGATCCACCAGGGGTCCATTTCGCGGGTCTAGTGAAGACCCGCTAAATCGACCACAGATCGCTCTCCCGTCGACTCCAGTACTCCACCAGAACAAGAAGCAAAAGGTAAGTCAACCCAATGCAGTGTAGACCTAAGCTATGTCGACGCCAGCTACGTTATTCATGTAGCTGGAGTTGTATAACTTAGGTTGACGTAACCCCATAGTGTAGACCTGCCCTAAGTTTCAATATGGACCAAGTAAATCCAAAGTAGACACGCTGATCCGAGAAGGCAGAGGAAAGGAATATTTCCCCGTACTGGTCTGTTTTGGAATGCTTCTATTAGGTGAAGGTGGGAAAGTACTACAGAGAAAATACTTTCTCTGCCCCCACAAAAAATGTGTTTTCATGTGTCAGTATGTAAATGTGTTATTTCAAGCTGGGCACTGATGCAGAGCTTATATTTAGCTCTTTTAATCAATTTTCATAAAATTAATATTAATAGAAAGAAATTAAACTGCAGAGTTTCAGCACAAGAGCATTAGGAATGTGCTGTTTAAAGTTAATAGTGCCTGTCTGGTACCATAAGCATTTTACAAAGATAAAAAAAAGGCAATATTCAGTGTTGGGAAACATTTAAAGTGGATTATATAGTAGAGCTGGGCAGAACCAGATTTTTCATTTCACAGGGAGTGCCGAGAGTTTGTAACATTTTCTGTTTCAAAATAAAAGGAAAGCAAAAAGCTTCAACATTCCCCTCAAAATGAGATTCCAGAGGAAAAAATAGTTATAGGTCAATTGCAATGCTTTGTTGCAATACAATCAAAATGTTTTGTTCCAATTTTGACTTTTATTTCTTTTATATTACATATATAGAGATAGATAGAGAGAGTGATAACAGAAGTAATTTCAAAACAGAAAATAGACATGTTCTATTCTGAAAAGGTCAATATGGAATGTTTGACCTTATAAAGATGTTTTTCAATTTTTCCTTTGAAAACTTTCCGTGAAATAAACACATTTATGGAAAACAATTTGCTTTCAACAAACAGGCATTTTCTGATAGAAAAACATTCTGTTGGAAAATTTACAACCAGCTCTGTTGTGTAGTTGTCATACTAGAGATGTCACAAGAACCACCCCCACCCTCCCAAAAAAGAAAAAGATTTGGGTATATCTAAATGTAGATAGAAAGTACCTGGCCTTTCACAGAACAAACCTGGCCACTTATACACAGCTAGCCTTCCCCTTCACCTGGGGCACTGTGCCATCATGTTTCCGATCCTCAGGTTGGAAAGTACCATCTGTGCTAGCAGAGATAATGTCTAGAAATACCATAGTTGCATCACAGAAAACACTCACTGATTCAGAAGACCTTATTCAAGTAAACTTTGCATTCAAGTCAATGAGAGTTTTGTGTGAGCTAAGGACTGCCAGATCAGGGCTAAGGTGCATTATATTACTCCTTTTGCACTGTTAGAGCACAGTGGGTTGGCAAGAGAGAGCTGACAAACACATCTAGGTGCAAGAGAAGTGTGGAACTCTGACAATATCTAATTATTGAGATGATTTCCCTTCTTTTACAAAACAAATTCTTTAAACATCAGATTGTGTATCAAGTATAAACAAACCAAAATTGTATCTTTATTTTCTAAATATAGTAGAGGTGATGAGGGAGGGGAAATTATGGTACCTTGCAAGTCATAGTACAGGAAGGTTTAAAAAAAATCTAGATTTGCATTGATCTTTGGATGCCAACATTTTAAAGCACTTCATATAATCAAATGTATTGTTTCCTTTTATATTTCAGCTGTCTCGATGTGTAGAATTCAGTTTCCTCTAGTACTGTAAATTGCTGCCATTACAGCTGAATAGGTTACTCCAGAAATTCTTAATTGAGAAGTTTTAATGATGTTGTAGATGACAGCTTCATGTCTTTCAATGCAAAGTAATATTTTATGGCCACCCTTGTACTTGTGCACTGAGGTTCCTGCTGTCAGCTCCATATGGAGGCCCTGAATGATTGGTAATTTTGAAAGGGGAAAATAATCGCAACTAGCTTCCTTATTGTAGAAGTGTACTTTTAAAAACATGTAGCTTTTTTGGTCCCAATTCTCCAAGATGCTGGGCCCTCTCAACTCACTTTCATTGGAATCCACTCTAGAGAGGGCATGAAATATGAATGGAGACTGTGGGCTCACTAGACTGCATATTCAGATTCACAGACTGATAAATGCCCTGGCCATTTTCTCATATTTGTTTTTCTCCTTTGTTTCTAAAGAAATTAAATACAAAAACAAAACAGAAGAGCCTCAAAAAGTTAATGAACTACTTGGCCACGTTGATACAACATTAAGTGGAGATGGGACAAAACTGAAGGCACTTGGATCTGAGGTTCTGAATTTCAGGGCAGGGGAAATTTGGCTGCAGATCAAGCATTTATGGGATTTCATTCCAGGGCTTTGTTCAGATGAGGGTAAAATTGCATGAGACCAACTGGCGTTGTGAGACTTGTGCAATTTGGACCCCAAGGTCCCACAAAAACATGTTGTGAGATTACAGTGAGCCCCAGCTCTGATTTAACTTTTACCTTGATCCCCCCTGCCTAAAGCACATCCAGATCTTAACAGCATTTCCCGGGCCCATCTGCAATACTAAGGCATTCTTAAAACCACCTAATAGATATGTGTAAGGTCCAGGAGGGGTCAGGTTTCAGTTCCTGTGAGAATAATAACTTCATATTGCTTGCCTTTGGGGGGTTTAAAATCTTCTTCAACACTTAGCCAGACAGTTGGCCGTAACGATCGTTCGCCATTTGGTCCGTTCCTACAAAAATGTAATAGTACAGGTTTATTAATTTAAACTGAGAAACATTTTTAGGTGAAGAACAACAATAACATGGGAACTGAATTCTTGGATGGTGAAGCAGACTGAGACTGAAGCAGCTGCCTGAATATTGACACTCTGTCTGCCAGCTGTAAGAGCAGTCAACCAGATTGTTCTAGGTGATTGCTTGACCCTCTCCTTCTTAACCCCCACCCACCAAGCACGTTCCCAGGGTAAACAGCAGGTTGTAATTAGTTACTTGTTATGTTAAACGTTTGAAACACGCAGGAAAAGGGAACTTGAAAATGAAGTTCTTAAATAAATTAAAAGTATTAGCAATTTAACACCTTTGCATATGTCCCTTGACTGACTAAGATTCCTTACAGTGCATTGAACATTCCTAAACTTGGGGTAATACTGGGAAGAGGGGACCTTAAAGGGACATATTGGTGCTGGTGGTCTATTATTATTCATCTCCAGTAGAAAGAAGCTTAAAGAACCATTTCAACATGTTGTATTTAGGACTGTTCAGATCAAATAAAATGTATAGAATCTGTTTCAGCAAAGGTTGTTTTGTTTTGGATGTACAAAGTGCTTATCTGTACTTTTGACATGTGTTTGTTTCAAATAACAGAAAAACCTTTGCTCCAAATTCATTAAAATTAACACTGAAGGATGCCTATCCAAAAGGGAGGCTGCTCTTGCTCCATTTAATCTGATAGCTGAAATATAGCCAAATCTAGTTCTCTTTAGGCTTTTCAATGCTGGACATTTAGTTACACAGCATCTATTCTTGGGAGACTTTGCTGGGCTTCTCATTAAATCCTCCTTTTTTTAATCCAGCTTGCCCTATTTGAGGAGTTTCAGTGGGAGCACAATAGCAGTATTGCATGTAGGGACGCTGCCTATTCATTCCAGCAGACCTACATTTGCACAGTCTGAGAACTTCTTTCCGTAAGTCTGAGTAGGAACTATTTGTTGCACGCATTGTAGCTGTCACTTAGCAACCCCCACTGCAATGGACACTTTCCAGCTGCTGAAATATTAACGCCTGTGAGCATTATGAAGGTGAGGAAAGACAAAAATCATCCAGGCCAAAGGACCGAATGAGTTTTGTCATGTAGCATGTGCCATATCTACTGTGTGCAGAAATCTTTAAAAGTAGATTCCAGCATTTCACTGGCTAACTAACTAGATCCTCTCTAACAAAATTCATTTAGCCCAGAAGTAGGCCAGGTGGCGTTTCTGCCTCTGTCAAATTTGTGCCAGGGAGGGGACCTTTAATTTCAGCCAGCAGCTTCATTGGTACTCTGCCAGCCGAGGTGGATGTAGATATACTCCATCAGTGCATCCCAAGGCTGCCCTGGCACATCCCCAGTGACAGCACAACTCCGGTTCTGGACTGTATTACTCTCCCCAACTACCTATGGAGTTCCCAGCAGAGAGATATGGCCACCTTGTATCATCACAGCCTTTCCATTGGCAGACTTTCTGAAGCCAGGAGTCATGCAACTTGGTTTACACCAGCAAAACCAGCTAGCCCTTTAAATCATAAAGGAAGCTTCCTAAACCAGTCCATTTACACGTAAAAAGAAACAAATGAATTCCCTTCGATGGGTGCATGCTTTCTCTGTCTCTCACAGGCTATGAAACTTGGACTTCTCACTTCTCAGAAAGGGATCATTTCTTAATTTTCATTCTTGCGTGAACCGAGTCTGAAAAGAAATGGCGCTAGCCCACCCATCAGGTACACACTCTTTGATTCACGGGTGCATGGCCAGCAGCAGTCCAGATATATAGTTAACATATAAGTCATTTTCTGCCAGGAGGGCTTCCTAGAGAAATGCTGATGCATGGGCCCAGGTGCAAGATGACAGCACATCAGTCTCAGCTATTGCTGTGCTTTGGCATACTCAACTCACAGGCCTGACAATATAAGTGTTGATTATAGTGGCATTGCGGATATATCTGCATAAGATGGGCATCTATAAATACAGACAACAAGTCTACATACAGGAGCTTCCTCTGGGTACGGCACTGTTTTTACACTGACTGCACATTCTTCTACTTAAAAGCCATCCAATATGAGTGTCATTAAGAGGTGTAGAAAAAGGACAATTATTTGTAACCACAAGTAATGCAACTGGAAGCCATGGGTTTGCAGCCTCCAGTGTGCTACAGCTTATTATGTACCTCAGTGGGGATTTGGGAAGATTCCTCAGTTAAATGTTATCTACACAGTCACACACTTTGCCTCATTTTTTTAAAGAAAACTTGACAGGTTTTCACTCAGCTTTATCTTGTGACAATTGTAGAAGGAGTTTCTAGAGTCAAGGAAGGAGTTTCTAGAGTCAAGCCTTCTGATTTTTCTCCATGTCTTCATAGGGATCACTGTATTATTATGTGCAACAGTGTTGCACCACGTCTTTGTGGATGCAAGCCATATAGAAAGTGAGAATAAAACCGAATAAAAGTTAACAGACAATTCCTGCTCTCTTTATTCATGTGAGTAGCTCCACTGAATTCATTGGGACTACTCATGTGAGTAAGAAAAGCAGGATGTGGTGCTAAAAACTTAACAAATGTGAGTGTTGCAAACCTTTTAGATATGTATTTCAAAGCATCACATTAATCTTGAACTTCTAGTTCTTTTGACAGAATCTCTCTGCCTCCCTACTTGTCAAACAGAGCTTGAATAAAATTCAGAATGCCAAGTAGAGTCTAGGTACTAGGGCTGGATCCTGCAAGGGCCAAGCCGAGCATGGTGGTCCTGATTCAGCAAAATACTTAAACACATGCTTAACTTTAAGCACTTAGTTAAGAAAATTAATAAATTAACAAATCATATCTCATAATTGTGGATGGGGTTTTCGGTCCCAGCTTGCCCAAGCCACTTTGAAAATCAGCCAGTATTGATACTGCATATCCTGAAAAACACACAGCTGAAGAATTCTCCACTCTTTTAGCCTTTTTATTCTTGTTTCAGAGTATTCGATCACTATCTCACAAGAATGAAGGGAAGGAGAATTTTAAAGAAAAAAATATTACTTTCCCTTGGCTCCTCAAACCATCCTCCTAAACACAGAAATGACTGCAGGATACAAAAACAGTCAGTAGTTTGCAGGAAGTTACTAATAGTCCAGATGTTAGAGTTGGTTGAAATAATTTGTTTTGTACAAGTGGAAAAAAATCTGCTCTCATAATGTGGAAGAGTTACTGTTCTTCAGGGGAGGAGACCTTATGTGCAGGAATGCACCCTGAGGACCATAATAATATGACAAAATGAATGAAGTCACCCTGGAATAGCTCATGGGAGACTTGCAGATGTTACTGTAAAAAAAAAAAAGACCTTTTTATATTCCAGAAAAAAGCATGGAAGGACAAAGTCATGCATTCAGAATGAATGACCTAGAGACACCATATACTAAACTGTAGGGGGGGGGAAAACCTACTTAGTTGATTTTTGATATATAGATAATATTTTTTGCTTCAGCTCTGCTGTAGCCAGAGTTTGCACTTCAGCCTTTAATCTACTATAGTTTAACTATCTAGAGAATGAAATTAATTTAGCCCTTTACTTGGTTACATGTTCTTCTTTCTCTTTTAGCATTTCTAGAGCCATATTTTGGTAATGTTCATGCTATCAATTGCCCAGGTAAATTATTTTTTAATTATCTAAAAGCATTGGAAAATATCAATGAATGGAAAAAATAGGAGTTGAGCTGCCCAGCTATACTGAAAACCCACCACACTGAAACCCACTGTCAAAGATATGTTTGGACTCCATCTTTGGGCCAGTCTGGGCTGATACGTCGCAAAGGATCTTGAACACCCCTAGTCTATTTAGAACGATGATATGGTCTTAGGAAATGTTATTATGGCAACCAACTACAGATTTTTGGATATACAAATAGACAACAGCTCCATTGTTACTTGAACCCGTCAAGATTCTAAATTGATTAGGGCAGGTGAGCCAATGTGTGTCACTTACAAAACCAAATATTTTTGTATTTTCAGAGAAGCAGGAATGTTATTTAGCAGTACATGTGGGTAGGACTACAGCAAATATATTCCATGCTGGCCTTCTGAATTTATTTCCAGTCTCCTCTGCACTGAGGATAGCAAATAGAGGATCATTGCTCCAATTCAGTGCCAGATTCCATTCTATTTACTTTCAGTTATATGTATTTTTTTTCAAGTTTATAAGAAGCATCTCATCTACGTAACAGGTCTAACTATTACTTGCAGTGCAGAATAGTAGGGCTTTGGCTTTTCAGTGTTTTTTTTTTCCAGGTTTTTATTTATGACACTCAGCAGATTTGTGGATAACTGTAAAACTGCCCCACAAATCTGAATCTTTGTCATCTACATCAATAGCTGTTGGCAGTTATTCAGGCAGTCACAACTCAAACAAGATTCAGCTCTCAAAAGACTTAAAAAAAATTCCACACCCTATGGGCAACATTTTAATTAAATGACCTCTGCATTTGAGCTGGAGGTTTGCACATCATCCTTAGAGATTATCTCACACTGTAAACATTAGGATACAGGCAGACGTTCCAACACTCCAAAGTTCAGAGGCATATTTGGATCCAGGATTTTGGCTGAGACCATTATACAGATGAATGACATTTCCAAAATCCAGATCCACATCTGGGTGCAGAAATCAAATAATCCTGGAGTTCTGTTGTGCATAGGTCCTAGGTTTTGGTTTGTGTCTACAAAAATCAGCCCTTTAGCTATGCATTTCCAATAATACTTTGCCCTTATATAGCCCCTTCTGAGGATCTCACAACAGTTTACAAAAATTAATAAATTGCAGCATCACAGTGAGGGAACTAGATATTATTTATCTCCATTTCATAGATGGGGAAACTAAGGCACGGAGAGACAATGATTTGTCCAGTGTCTCACAGCAAATCTATGTTCTAGGACCTTGATTCCTCTGTACACCCAATTTGCAAATGATATTTTCACGTGAACTTTCATATGCAAAATTT